CAAATCCAGATTTTCAAATCAAATCAAATTCAAATAAGTCTAATATTTGATTTGATTTGATTTTGAGGAACCCTACTGACCAGTTACTTTCTATTTAAAAAAAATCAAGATCAATATGACTATTGTCTTAATAGGTTAGTACAAAAAACTCAAAAACATGACTGCCATCCCGGTAGACCACTTTTCACCAAAACTTAAATCCACTGAGTAATGGTTATTTCCTCATTATGCTCTATCATGCAATGATACTTACCTGAGCGTAACTCATACAAAACGATAATATTTCTGTTTCTGTCATTCTGACAGGCTACTTATTAAACTAATGATTTCAAATATCAGATAACAAATGCTTATTAAGCCACTCTTCGAAGGGTGAAAAAGGGTGAAAGAGGGTGGAATAAAAAAATTAGACAAAGTCGGGTTAGCAGAAAAAACAAAAAGTATTTTATTTGAAAAAAAACACATTCTCTTTAAATATTTTCTAATGATTACAAATCAAAAAAACTACATAATTACGTTGTTACTATAATAAACTCTAATAATATAATTACATTGCTACCATTACTAGCTTTAATGATCATCAGATTGAAAAAATTACACAATTTACCATCATATCAATAAACTCTATTTTTACAATTACTAATCGAAAATACAGATCTTATGAAGTATAGGTGGTCATATATAAATTATTACAAGATTATAATATATAAAACCTATCTAATTTAAGCTAATTTATATTAGAACTCTAATTCTAACCTTAACTATTTATAAATTTACTTGATTTGATTCAAAATAGTTGATTTTTATATATTATAATTATATAATAATTATATTTGACCACCTATACTACATTTCAACCGAAAATACTACACAACAAAAATGAAAAACTATGTTAATCTGCTATAAAACATTTGTATAATATTTCTCCAGTAATCAAGCAATAAATCATAACTATACAATTATATAATTAATTAATTTAGCTTCATGTTCAATTTGAGACAAAATGCTGCTCTGATACTATTATATCAGACAGCCAATTTTGTCCCTCATTGAGGAGGTGTTGAAATACAAATAATTACAATAAATATAGTTTCGGGTTTTTACAGAGCATCTTTACAAAAACTTTTCTTGTGATTGGCTTTAAGGTTTCTACTTTGCTTTACTTTTTTTTTTTTTTTTTTTCAAAAACCCATCAATCGTGAGGCCCTAATTCTGTGGTTGCAACAGCACTCATATATAGCTGAGCTGCCACTGATGATTACATGCCAATTGATTAGATCTGTTCTATTATCATGCCTTTTTTTATAGTTGCTGTTGTGCCTCCAATCCTTGCATTTTCTGCAAACCTCTTAACTATTGCAGATATTGTCACTACCGATAACTTTTCTCTGGTTTTTGGCAAGAATAACAGGCTTTCTAGTAACATTTTCAGCCTTACTCTTAAATACATACCCAGGAGTCAAACTAGGCAAATCTTGCTTGCTGTTTTTTCAACAAGAATAAACTTTCCTCTTTCTAGCTGGTCTGTTTTCGACTTAACAACTCTAATCTACAACTTTTCACCCTTTTCTAAAACATCTGACCATCTCAGATTACACAATTCACCAGGTCTCTATATAACTCTTAAACCAAAGACTACCAACGCTATATCTTAAGCCCACATAAGCACACTAATCTCTGGTGGCAGATATTTAATATAATGTATAACTACTTTTATCAGTAACAGTTCTCTTGGACACCTGGTCTTGGTTTTAACCAAAGTCTGAGACCTTTTAATTCTTTCCAAAATTAACTGAATTGCACTCTCCTTTGTTAGATCCTTAAGGTTTCTTATTTTATGTCCTTTGCTACTGTGGACAGATATATTTGGACTTCTGCCACTTTATCTAATGTTTCTAACTATATCAGAAAAGCTGCTAGCAACTTTTCTGACACTGGATAAGGCACAAAGACCAAAGAGTGAAGTTTTCAAAAACCTTCTGAGCTTTTTCTAAATGCTTTCTATACAGGTTACTAATTGATTTGCTTACCAAATATCTTGCTCTGTTAAACAGCCCTTCGACTAATCCAACTATATGGCTCTCAACTACCACTGAGTGTTCTTGCAAAGTTCTACATTTCTTGAAGAATCTGAATAAATAATTTGGGTTAGAGCTGATAAGTTAATTTCCTCTCTTGGGAAGTTTATAATCAACAGCCACCACAGGGCTGACACCTACACTGAAACTATAATGACCAACCAAGCACTGCACTTTTTTGTATAACACAGAGCTCTGTGAATTTGGCTAAACGGAGAGCATATATAGTTCTTCACTTCGGCCCAATTTTACGTAAAGCAGTTTACAGCCTCTGATTCTGGACAGAAGAAAAGGCTGTTAAACCATTTGATTCTTGCATTAAGATGGCTTGCAAACTTGTCAACGTCAAATTCTGAACTTATCACCCAGTCTTCTGAATCCATCATCCTTGTTAAGAAGTCTGCCAGGTTCAACTTGCTTGAGACCCATCTTGTATCGAAAATCCTAATATTATAGATGATACAAACCTCCCAAATTTGCCTCATAATATTCTTCTGCCATTGCGTCAGGCCACCTTTTACAACTATTGTCAGAGCCACCCTGTTGTCTATAAACAGAGTAATCCAAGAGTTTTTCAACTGATCTTTAAATAACTACAGTACTCATAACACTGCTAGTGCCTCCAACTATGCTATAATGTTCAACAAGTGTAGTTGTATCAAACTTTTTACTGCTCTGTACTCTTGAAAAACCCCACACCAACAGATTGCTGACGCGTTAACATAAACCGCCCTTATCTGTTACAGCTTTCAGGCTAGCCAACTGTTTCATTTCCTTAGGTTCTCTACTAACCAATAAATATCCTCCATCGCTTGTGCTAACAATTGCACCTTATTGTTCTATTCCTATACCCCACAGTTTTATGCATCTATGAGTCTATAAAACTCCATATATTTCACCTGGCTTGGCAGAAAAGCCCTTAACAGACTTATAATTTTTCTCGCTACTGACACTAGGTCCCTTGCCGTTATTCTTTAAGCCTTTAACAGTACCTTCAGCTTTGCTGTGGTTATTACGATCTTCTCTTCCAAAGCCACAACAACCTTCTTGATTATGTTTACGATTATTTCACAAAATTTTAGCTCCTGTGTCAGGTCCTATTCACTTTGTCCAAGGTCCAAATCTAACTACAACACTCCAAATCCAACTTCACAACCTCTTTTCTTATCTCTAGCAAAGTTTTCTTGACCAGATAGGCCACAAAATATCATTCAGATGGTTGCCGCAGTAGATACTCTGCATATGCCACTTGCCGATTAGCACTCTCATCAGTTTGGAAAAAATCCATGGAGCTTGGCTTAGGCCAAATAGTAGAACCCTATACCGATACCAACTCTCTTCTACTATGTACCCTAACAACTTTTGAGCTTAGACATTTATTAGAATATGGTGGTATTTATCTTTGAGATTAAATAAGATTGTGTATCAGCCCAGACCAACTATTCTTAACAATTCGCCCAGACCTTCGAAATGAAACAACTTTTGTGGCAGTGTTTAATTTAGCCTTCTCAAGTCTATTATCAACCAAAACTGCTTGAGATCCTACTTCGAGACTAGAAAAACAGAACTCACCTCCAACAAGTCTCATGAACACACCTTGCCTTTGCCAACCTTTATTATCACATCCAATCTTTCTAACCTCATCAATTTGTCTTCCAGCTAGCACCTTTCTTTCTATATGAACTGATACAGTCTTGGAACTGGCTTGTTTACCAAACGCATAAGCTCTATCAGAAACAAGAGAACACTTTTTTCTAGCCATATTATAACTAACTGCGATGGTCCTATTACCTCTTTCCAATACTTTACTGACTTCTACTTGTGAATTGCTCTCACTACAAATACCTCTGCCTCTATTATCACCTCTTTTAAAGATCCCGAGTGTTGTCAACTATCCTTCAGTCAGGCACTTTCACCATGAAAGAGCAACCCAATATGCTTTCTGAAGCTATACTTATTCACAAAATATCCCTTATCTTCATATACATAGCAAACCACCTCACCTCCTTTATATCTCCTAGCCCTATCGAACTTCCTAGACTACTGAGCTGCTAAGCATAAGGATTATTGCTATGCTGATAAAGATGATACAAAATCTAAAATCACCTGTTGTCCTTCAACTTGCGTAAACTGCAGATTTAACTAAACACCTTGTGAAAAGAGTGGTATATAACCATTGACTGCATTTTGCGAACCCCACTGTTGTCTCCAGAGCTGTAGTTGAAACTCTGCTAGTTGGACGTAGAGTTATAGTTGTGGAACCTGTATTACAGAGATGTTTTTTAATTGAACAGCTGATGTTGTTAGCTGGAGCTGATCTACATGGGCATAGTAGATTGTTTTGAGCTTTTTGGATTTTGCGAAATGTTGCACAGCTAACCTAGCACTTTTATGTTTACTTCTTAATAATTTAGATATAGGATCTGATCTACCTATATTGGTCATCCTGGAAGCAACCTCCCAACTATCCTTATTAGCTACTCTTATGATATAGACCTTTTCTAATGTGACCTGTCTTGCAAGCGAACAAAATTCATATCACCTAAAGCTATTGCCTTGTCCAATAATATGCCTGCTCTACACTACTCATTGTATTTCCATTGATTTTGTGGCTTAGACAATTCATGCTTCGTCTATACACTTTTATACTCAACATCTTTCAAAAAAAAAGTGTTCAATTCCATCCTGTAACCCAGTAGCCTTTTCTCCTACACATAATTTAGAGAGAACTCTTGTTGATAACTCCTTGCTTATCACAAGCTCTAAAAGAATTTTCACAGGCACTGGATGTTGTGTCCTTTCACCAAACTATTATATTTCTAATTCTGAAAAAGTGTCATATGAACTCTCCTTAAACTGTGGCTGCACTTCTTTTCCTTTTCCAAATACATCTACATCTTCTATAGGCTCTTTCAGACCTAACTGATTATGGCTTTCCCTTAATAATCTGGACACGATTTCTTGCTTCGGTCCCATTTCCACTAAGCCCATATCACAACAGACGAACCTTATCGCCTCTACCGACAATCAGTTTAGATTTGACTTTAAGTTCATTTGAGTTATATCAGAAGCTATTGCATCGTTTGCTATAGACACTGGCTCTGGCTCTCTACTTATAGTTGTCATAAAACTGATAGCTTCTTTATATATATTGCATACTAAGAGACTGATTTTTTTTTTTTTTTAATATTAATAGTGAAGTCATGTCTCTATCTTTATTAAATATTTAATTGAGATTATTACATAAAGTACTAATCTTCTTTTAAAATATTATAAGAAGAATAAAAGCTCAGACTAGTTTATCTGTGACCTAAACCAACTGGAGTGGCCAAGACTCACCTAGATTTGGGTATTAGTAATAATATGAGAAAGATTAAATTAGTATTTGATCCAATGTATATACCAAGAATTTATCTTGGAGCTAATAGTAGTAAAAAGAAGGGGTTGGAATGTATACAAAGAAGGATTAGAAGGTAAATTATCAGTAGAAGAATGAACTGTTGATCTTGAAATACAGTAAAAAATCCAGATTTTATGATAAACTTGTTGATTAAGATGAAGTAGAAATTTTATAACAAGTGTTGTAGCTATTTTTTGGGTTGATAAGTTTGAAATAGAGGTGATAATTTCATTTAGTACTAGGCCTGATAAAGTTGAGAAGACTAAAGGCATATCTGGCATACTGTGTATAGTTATGCAATCTAATTGCTTAATCTGGTTGTATAAGTTAGTTATAATGCTTTGAGTAATATCGAGTGTAGTTGTGTTAAGAGTATGTTGTAATAAATTATTTATAAGCTTGTATAGTAGCTGATCAGATGAACAAGTTATCCAATGAAGATGAGAGCTGATCTGATGATATTGATGACAATTGGGTAAATATGAATGATATCGTTTGTATAGAATATGTAGAGAAGGAAGGTCATCTAATAAAATTTTAATCTTAAAGAATTTAAGAGCAGAAGATTGAAAACTGTGCGAAAAGTTAGAAATTTTTTAATTGTTGTTAATATATAACTAGGTAGCTTGCTAATTAATTTGGTTAAAAATTTTGTTTCATTTTTAAAAATAGTTTTGTATTATCCAAAGTGTATAAATATGAGCATGACATATTGTTCTAATACTACGGTGGGTAGATAATTCTAGAGGAAAGTTCTCAAGAGTTAAAGTATAAGATAAATTATAAATATTATAAAGTATAAATATAAGATATGATAGGTTATAATGGTTGTATACAAGTTGGTTAGCAAGATTATTATAATTGTCATCTTGATGAGCAACAACTTTATAAAATATAATATGAATATTATAAGATTTGATAAAATTAATAAGTGTATTCTATCAATAATGCAAAATTTTTCAATCTCTCTCTGCTAATCCTTTGTGCACAAAAATACAAAAACAAAACAACAACAAAAAATGACAGAAACACACAAATGGCTATAAAAACAAGACTTGCAGCTCTAAGAAAAAGCAAGAAGACTAAAAATAATACCCAGTCTCTTAAGAGACTTGAGGAAAAAAAGCAGAAGCGGCAAAGATATA